AGGGCAATGTCACCCTGGCGGGGGCAACCCTGGCGGGGCAACCCTGCCAAGGGCAACCCTAACTCGGCGGCAACCCTGGCGGGGGCAACGCTGGTGGGGGCAACCCTGGTGGGGGCAACCCTGGCAATGGTAAAACTGGGCAACCCGGCGGGGTTGCGATAAAAACCATTAAATCTACTGGACGTCTTAATTTTATCATAGAATGACATTGAAAGACTTCTCATAAAGGAAAATAGGATGAAAGATAATGAATCCTGCATTTTTATTTGGGGTACAGCTTTTCGCATAGCATATTGGCATAAGAAATACCATTCAGGTACGATATGTAAGGGAGTAAGTAATCCACATGCTTCTACTGCATTCACTGGATGTGAGAAAGAAGAGAAGCCGAAATGAATTTGAAGAAGATATAGATCGAGAATTAATATCTTTCCATAGAAATCTTTACTAGTAATGAAAGGGGAAATGCCAGTTTATTATTAGTGGAATTCCTTAAAGGAATATTAGAAGATAGAAAATGTAGATTAAAATATGAAAAATGGCGGGGACAACCCAAACCTCGGAGACAACCCTGGTGGGGGCAACCCTGGCGGGGGCAACCCTGGCAGGGGCAAGGTGAGGTATAAACATATGTTTATTTCTACATGTCTGGACCCTGGCGGGGGCCACTAATGGAGAACTTTGGCAGGGCCCTTCATAGACAAGGACGACGAAGCACACAGGTGCACAATTCCTGAATAGGCGGCGAGGCCAATTTCTGGGGGGCAACCCTGCTGGTGGGGGCAACGCTGTCTGGGAGCAACTGGCGGGGGCAACCCTGGCGGGGGCAACCCTGGCGGGGGCAACCCTGGCGGGGGCAACCCTGGCGAAGGCAACCCTGGCGGGGGCAACCCTGGCGGGGGCAACCCTGGTGGGGGCAACCCTGGCGGGGGCAACCCTGGCGGGGGCAAGGCAACTCTGGCGGGGGCAACCCTGGCGGGGCAACCCTGGCGGGGGCAACCCTGGCGGGGGCAACCCTGTGGGGGAACCCTGGCGGGGGCAACCTGGCGGGGGCGCAACAGCTTCTTAGGCCCGACCTCCCCCGCCAGGGTCGCGCGTCGGGGGTTTAGGGTTAATCCATTATTACATTGTGCCCTATGGCTAGCAGGGATGCATCAGGTGTGGCAAGCTCGATCTGCTTGGCAAAGCAAGCAGATCTCGAAGCGGTAGCGTTCAGTTGTACCGGCCGCCGCCTGGCGCGGGCGGCCTATGGTTTAGGGTATGGACCCATACCCACAGGGTCCATGTACCTATATCGTAGATACCTGGGCCTTAATTAAAGGGGTTCCTATGTAGTAGCTCTAGGGGCCAAGTATATACCAGATAGGTACATGGACCCTTAGGGATACTGGAACCTTGACCAGCCCCTCCATACACGATCTCCGCCCCCGCGCACAGCGAGAGGCGCAAGAGTGTTTTTGACGGGAACAACTCGAAGCAAGCCGAAACCCTGAACCCTAAACCCCAAACCCTGAACCCTAAAACCTAAACCCTAAACCCTAAACCCTGAACCCTAAACCCTGAACCCTAAACCCTAAACCCTAAACCTTAAACCCTAAACCCTGAACCCTAAACCCTAAACCCTAAACCCTGAGCTCCTTAAGCCCTTAAGCCTAAGCGCCGAAAGACCCATGCGAGGCAGCAGCGAGGCCCGAGAACAACATCACCATCAAGCTCTCCTATGTCGAAGCCTTGGTCTAGGATTTGGGGGCTGAGGGTTTAGGGTTTAGGGTTTAGGGTTTAGGGTTGTCTAGGGTTTAGGGCATAGGATTTAGGACTTTTTTTGGGGGGGGCTTCAGGGGTTCACGATCTATGGTTTTAGGGCTTTGCGTAGGGTTTATGGCACAGGGCAAGCTCTAAATGGGGCGTAGGGTTTCATGTTTTGGCAGCAAGAAGCTCGACGTCGAACTTCTTTCAAAAGGGGCCCAAGCAAAAACCCGAAGCCCGAACAGAACGACTTGAAGCCAAGACTCTGGACCCGAAGTTTAAGACCCAAGCCCTGAGCTGAAACCCACCTAAAGTCACGAGGGAAAAGCTCTCTGTGGCGATTTTCCTTGACCCTAAACCCTAAACCCTAAGCCCCACGTAACCCTAAACCCTAAACCCTAAACCCTAAACCCAAAACCCTTTAGCCATATGTGTGTGCTCTTGGGTTGTCGAGTCTTTGCCCCAAGGCCCTCCCACAAAACGACCTTTAATCCCTAAACCCGAAGCCCTAAACGGAGCAGAGCTATGGGAGCAGGCGCTGTGCCTGGCTCTCTCATTTTCATGCGGGGGGTTGCCGAAAATAGGGGGTACCCCTTTTTGGGGGGGTCCCTTTAGGGGGTACCCCCGTTTTTTGGGAGATACCCCTGTGTCCGTTGGTTGTCACAAACTGCCTTCACGAAAATTGCGAAAACAACTGACTTGCTAATCGACAGCCCCGTGGTTTCTAACTCGCACGCACGGCGGATGCACTAGTCTTTGGGTTGGGCGCGAGATAAAGCGGGAAATGACCCTTGCTGGCTCGTTGTTGTTGAGGGCGCAAGTTCCTTTGGAAAGCCCTGTATGCAGAAACCCGGTTTAATGAGGGTTTAGGGTTTAATTACGGTTTAGGGTTTAGGGTTTAGGGTTAGGTTACCCTGAGACCTGCCCTAAGCCCTAAATCTCTCGTTCGATTAAGACACAGCAAGTCCCAAACCCCGCACAGCTGTCGGAGCCCTTAGTCAAATCCTCAGCAGCAGACTTTAGGCTTGGGGTTTGGCGTTTCGGGTTGGGTTTAGGGTTTGGGGTTTAGGGTTTAGGGTTTAGGGTTTGGGGTTCAGGGTTTGGGGTTTACGGTTTAGGGTTTAGGGTTTAGGGTCTCCTCGCAAGGTTGAGATCTACAATGAGCTGATGTGCCTCCGGCCTGTGCATGCGGCTTTCGGCGCGCGCTGCAATCCCACAGACGCCCAAGACCTCATCAAACCCTAAACCCTAAACCCTACACCCTACACCCTAGACCCTAGACCCTAGACCCTAAACCCTAAACCTAACACCTACAAAACCCTAGAACCGCAAGCCCTAAACTTCTAAGCCTTAAAGTTGAGGAATGCTTGGTTTGCGATATGACTCCGGCAATCCTAAACCCTAAAACCCTAACACCCTAAAACCCTAAACCCTAAACCCTAAAACCCTAAAACCCTAAACCCTAAACCCTAAAACCCTAAAACCCAAAAACCCTAAAACCCTAAAACCCTAAAACCCTAAACCCTCAAACCCTAAAACCCTAAAACCCTAAAACCCTCAAACCCTAAAACCCTAAAACCCCTAAAACCCTAAAACCCTAAAACCCCAAACCCAAAACCTCAAGCCCTAAACGCTAAACCCTGGTTGGGGTCGGGGTTTCCTCATAAACAGAAACTTACTTCTCCAACAGCTGAACTTTAAACTTTTTGGGTTTCCTTCTTTAGTAGGAATAATAAAGTTTAACCTTTTTTTCCCTTGGTTATTGGAGAAGTAAGGAAAACGGTAGCTTTCGGATTGTTATGTCACTCAAGGTCGGCGTACTAGGGGTTTAGGGTTTGGGGTTTAGGGTTTAGGGTTTAGGGTTTAGGGTTTAGGGTTTAGGGTTTAGGGTTTAGGGTTTAGGGTTTAGGGTTTAGGGTTTAGGGTTTAGGGGGCTTAGATCCGAAACCCTACAGGGTGGGGCCCCCTTACTATACTAACTGTAGTTAAGGGACTTATAACCTAACTTAGGGTCCTTATAACCCAATTTGGGGCCCTTATAACTCTACTTATAACTAGGGGGCCCCACCCTGTAAACCCTGAACCCAATAGGGGGTTAAGCGGGTTTGTAGGGTTTAGGGGCGCCTCCAATGTCCCCTTGTCTCAAAGGTCCCGCAGGGATGCGAAAAGTGACTGAAAGATTTCAGGGTTTGGGGTTTAGGGTTTGGGGTTTAGGGTTTAGGGTTTGGGGTTTAGGGTTTAGGGTTTGGGGTTTAGGGTTTGGGGTTTAGGGTTTGGGGTTTGGGGTTTAGCATAAGTGTTCAGGGGAATCCTTTCCTGTAAGTATGGGCTCATGGAGTTCTCCAACCCGAAGCAAACCCCCGAAGCGCCAAAGCCCCAATACCTGCTGTGAACTCCAACACCCTCCAAACCCTTCAGGGTTTCGGGCTTAAACCCTACACCCTAAACCCTAAACCCTAAACCCTAAACCCTAAACCCTAACCCTTAAAAACCTAAGAGCCCCAAAGGGTGCATCGCCAGGTTCGACCTGCTGACTGACGTGGGAGTTCTGTGGCTGCACCCTGGAGGGGTTAAGGGTTTCGGGTTTGGGGTTAGGGTTTAGGGTTTAGGGTTTCGGGTTTGGGGGGTGAAGGGCTCATAGTAAGGAAATAAGCAGTTAGGTGCTGTGCAGAATCCCTGACAGAGAGCCGGGGGGGGGGGGGGGGGGGGGGGGCCTATTGGAGTGAATATGTAGGGTACGGAAGTCCCTCATCAGGGTTTGGGATTTAGGGTTTCGCGTTTAGGGTTTAGGGTTTAGGGTTTAGGGTTTAGGGTTGAGTGTCTAGAGGTCTGAAGTATCGGCCCATGGGTTTATAGGGGCTATAAGGGGTATATAGGGTTTAGGGTTTAGGGTTTAGGGTTTAGGGTTTGGCTATAAGGGGTATATAAGGGGTTCCCATGTATGGGCCCATATGAAGGGAACCCCGCAACTATCCTTAGACGTTCTCTTCGAAGACCCAGGAGGTTTAGTGTTTAACCATAGAAGGGTCGGGGCTTGAATGGTTTTTGCTAGGCTGAGAGGGCTCAGTAGTTCTCGCTTCTACTGTCTGGCCCTGTATATGTATATACATACAAATCCACATATATACAGAAAACGTTTTACTGCAGGCCCGAGTCTTACGTACGTCAGTCTTTTAAGCTCAAACCATAAATCGACGACTTCACGCGCACGCTGCCATCCACGGTTGCTGCAGCAAAAACTCGTCGACCTGGGCATGTGGTCTGACAGCAAGGTGGCCATGCTGGCGCTCTTCATCAACAACTACAAAGCCTGGCGGTTGCTGGTTGGCTGAGTACATGGATATCTCCGTGGATCAAGCAAAAGCCAAGCTCATCCGAAAGCCGAGCTCATCCGGATTTTCTATGGAGGCAAGCCCTCATGTGAAATCCCGTTCCTGATGAAGCTGTGTCCAGAGGTATGTATATGTATGTATATACACACATATATTATGTATTGTACACTTTTTCTCGAGTCGCGCTCGCTCTCTGTCTTTTTGTTTTTGTCTTGCTGCCGCGCGCTTTTTCTCTACCAGCTCTTCTCTCGCTGTCTTTGTCTTGGTGGTTCTCTGTGCGCCTCTGCCTCTTGCCTGTCCCTCAACCCTAAACCCTCAACCCTAAACCCTAAACTCTCAACCCTAAACCCTCAACCCTACACTCTCAACCCTAAACCCTAAAACTTCAACCCTCAACCCTAAACCCTCAACCTAGAGCCAACCTCAGAGGTTGCCGAACAAAGCGGCGACCTTACCATCGTCGAGGACGCCCGTGGCAACATCCAGGCGGGACCCTACCCCTGCGGGATTCTCAGGAATTTCGGGGGCTTCTGGTTTGGGGTTTAGGGCTTTCGGGCTTTAGGGCTTTAGTGTTTTCGCGTTCAGGGGGCTTTAGGGTTTCGCTACCCAAGACCAGCCCAGGGTCTAGGGTTTAGGGCTAGCCCGTGAGAAACAGAAAGGGTTTTCTCTGGTTTAGGATTCACAGGATTATCTGGGCTGTGGTTTAGTTGTTTTTGTTTTTGTTGGGGTGGGGGTCGGGCGGGGGGGCGAGGGGGCTTGCTCACAGCAACGGCGTTTTGGGTTTCGGGTTGGTTGAGGATTTGGGGCTTTGGGCTCAGAGGGGTTCGGGTTTGGGGTTTAGGGTTTAGGGCTTAGGGTTTAGGGCTTAGGGTTTAGGGTTTAGGGATTCAACTTCCTGTTGACACTTGATAGCCCAGTGGCACCCGTTTGCCTTTTGTCTTGGTTCTAGACCCCCTCATAAAGCAAGTGGAGGGGTTGACATCCTTCGAAGGTTCGTGGGCTGTCGACCCCCGTCGGTGGCACCGAGGAAGAGGCTGGGAGATGTTGGGGTTTAGGGTTTAGGGTTTAGGGTTTAGGGTTTAGGGTTTAGGGTTACGGGGCTTAGGGTTTAGGCTTTAGGGACTCTAGGTGGCCTCAGGCTTCGAGTCTTCAGGCTTTGTTAAGGTGTTAGGCCATTGGGTTGGGGTTTCGGGTTTAGGGTTTAGGGCTTAGGGCTTCGGGCTTAGGGTTTAGGGCTTATATAGGGTTGAGGGTTTAGGGTTTGGGGCCTGGGGTTTGGTCTTCATACTGCGCCGCAGGTGACTGTTAGTCCAGTTTCTGGTGTCTCTGTTGGCCAAGAACGCTAAAACCCTAAACCCTCAACCCTCGAGGCTCCCCAAAATTAAGGGCCCGGAACATGTGGAACCACTAAACCTGAGAGGCCCTAAGCTTTGAAGCAGGAGACTCCTTCACCCGGAACTCAGGAGCAGGATTTAGGATTTTAGGATTTAGGATTTAGGGTTCAGGGTTTAGTTTTTGTTGACAAGGGACTTGGGCCAAGCTGCCATAGGAACGAAGCCTCATTTGTAATATAACGCACTGAGCCCTAAGCCCTAAACCTTAAACCGTAAAACCTAACTCTAAACCATAAACCCTAAACCCTAAACCCCAAAACCTATCTCTAAACCCTAAACCCTTAAAATGCCCATCCCGAGTGGGAGCTTAGCTTCATCTCCTTAAACGCCACACGTGTTGGCCTCGTCGTGCTCCCTAAACCCTAAACCCGAAACCCGAAACCCTAAACCCCAAACCCCAAACCCTAAACCCTAAACTCCCAACCCAGCCTGGCGCATGGGTTTTGGAGGTTTAGGGTTTCAGGGCTTAGGGTTTCTAGTCTGATCAGGCATCCTTCCCCACATCCCTGACATGGTACGCCCTGACCCCTAAACCCTAAACCCTAAACCCTAAGCCCCAAACCCTGAACCCTTCAACTTGCCTAAGCTCCAGCAACCAGAGTTGCAAAAAAAAAACACAGAGTGCAAATGCGAGGGATGTGTGGTTTAAGGGTTTTGGGTTGCTTAGTGCGTTGTAGTATTGGCAGTGCTCTGAGCTAGGGTCCCCTAAACCCTAAACCCGAAACCCTAAACCCTAAACCCCAAACCCTTTTGGGGGGTCCTGTTTTTTATAAGAGTGCCGGACTATATATTGGACCCAAGGAGGGACGCGATTACGAGGACTGCCCAAAATCAGATATTTGCTAGATACTGAAGGTAAGTTTTTCAAGGTGAAAACGATGAAAACAACACAAACACCTATCAACTTGGCTCTCCGGTCTCTCTCTCTCTCTCTCTGTGTCTCTGTGTCTCTGTGTCTCTGTCTCTGTCTCTGTCTCTGTCTCTGTCTCTGTCTCTGTCTCTCTCTCTCTGTGTCTCTGTGTCTCTGTGTCTCTGTGTCTCTGTGTCTCTGTGTCTCTGTGTCTCTGTGTCTCTGTGTCTCTGTGTCTCTGTCTCTGTCTCTGTCTCTGTGTGTGTGTGTGTGTGTGTCTGTGTCTGTCTCTGTCTCTGTGTGTGTGTCTGTGTCTGTGTCCGTGTCCGTGTCCGTGTCTGTGTCTGTGTCTGTGAGCGTTTTCCCGTTTAGGGTGTCTGTGACAAGGCCTTGCACATCTTCTTCCAGGGCGACACGAATCGCCACGTTGCGGAGCATGCTCTGAATAAAGGGCCGGGGCCCTGATTCGCCACACGATGCACCAGAGGATTGTCGAGCCATGTGTCCCAAAACCGTACATCCTGAACGACCTTCCTGTCTAAACCCTAAACCCTCAACCCTAAAAACTAAAAGCCCTAAACCCTGAACCCTGAACCCTGAACCCTGAACCCTGAACCCTAAACCCTAAACCCTAAACCCTACCCCTTCAGTTCTCATGCTGTCTGTGGTTGGGAGTGGAGGGAGAAGCCCGTGCACATCCGAGGGCCTTAAGGCACCAAAGGATCCGTTTAGGTAGGGTTTAGGGTTTAGGGTTTAGGGTTTAGGGTTTAGGGTTTAGGGTTTAGGGTTTAGGGTTTAGGGTTTAGGGTTTAGGGTTTAGGGTTCAGGGTTTAGGGCTTAGGGGAGTTCGGGGTAGTTTAGGTAGGGTTTAGATGTTTAGGCCCCCGGCTTGCATTTTTCGGTTAAGGGAGTTTAGGGTTTCGGGTTGCCTGGCTCGTCGTCTTTCCCCAAGATTTCCTTGTACCTATGTAGTATATGCTTTAGGGTCAAGGGTTTAGGGTTTAGGGTTTACGGAAGTTGTATATACTTGGGCCCTAAAGCTACCATATAGAAGCCCCTTGGACACCCCCCAGGTACCTACCATATAAGTACATGGACCCTTTGGGTTTGTCGACCTGTGCTTAGACACATGACATGCGCGAGCCACGTCCTTTGATGCGCGAAGCTCCTGCTTGCACCCTAAACCCTAAACCCTAAACCCTAAACCCTAAACCCTAAACCCTAAACCCTAAACCCTAAACCCTGAACCCTGAACCCTGAACCCTGAACCCTGAACCTTGGGCCAGAAATCTTGTGGAAGCCTCGGGTTCCAACCTTTCGAACACCGCCTAAACCCTAAACCCCAAACCCTAAACCGTAACCCTAAACCCTAAACCCTAAACCCTAAACCCTAAACCCTAAACCCTAAACCCTAAACCCTAAACCCTAAACTCCTAAACCGTAACCCGAAACCCTGAACCCTGAACTCCTGAACCCTTAAACCCCTGAACCACCAACCCTAAACCCTGAACTCCTAAACCCTTAAACCCCCGAACCGCTGGGAGAAGATTCGGCAGAGCCTGGAAACCAAGGTCCCTTTGCCAGACTGGGTTTTGGAGTACGATACTTTCATACTTTTGTTGGTTCCGGGTTCCTATTAAAGCTACTAAAACCTAAACAGCAGAGACTTTGTTCCATGGTCTACTCCAACGTAGGGAACACTCCTAATATGGCCCTTTTATATTCCCTTAGGGATCCTTTAAACTGGGACAACAAAACCCAAGAGTACAACCTTAAGGGTCCAAGGTAGAACCCCTAGACATTCGGCTGAGCCTTGGGCCCCTAAAACCTAAACCCTAAACCCTAAACCCTAACCCTAAACCCTAAACCCTAAACCCTAAACCCCCAAACCCTAAACCCTAAACCCTAAACAAGTGTAGGGAGCCTTTTCAACCAGGTCCACCCGCTCCCACGTCGTGTTTACCATCTACGTGGAGAGCCGATCGCGGGTGGAGTCCAGTGAGAAGGCTGGTGAGTCTTTTTTTGGGTTTAGGGTTTAGGGTTTAGGGTTTAGGGTTTAGCGTTTAGGGGCCCTATAAACCCGAAACAACCTACAGAACCCGAAACCCTAAGCCCCATAAACTCCCAAAACCCTAAAGCCCTAAACCCCAAATCCCCGCTACACCCAAGCTCAGGGCTCCGGGGTTTATGGCTGGCGGCTGATTCCGGGTTTTTAGGGTTTAGGCTTAGGGTTCAGGGTTCAGGATTCAGGATTCAGGGTTTAGGGTTGAGGGTTTAGGGTTTGAGGGCTTTGCGTCAGGGAAGGAAAGGTATGCAGTGGACATGGGTTCTATATAGAGTTTTGCCTGCAGGCGGTTGGGTCAGCGGTGTTATGCTCAATCGCCATGAACCCGAAACCATGAATCCTAAACCCCATATATCATATCATAAAGCCTGTACCCTGTTTGGCATTTCGTCGGTTTCATTCGGGGTTTGTTCTATACCATTATGAGGATACCAAAAAGGGACTTCCTGCCCCACCCCCTGGGCCGCGCTCCCCCACGCTCCGCCCTCCCCTCCCGCCCCCAAAATTAGGAAAGCCCTCGTTTGGTCTTGCACACTTCAAACATGAACTCTATTTGTACTGCTATACTTAGCCCCGAATAGGGTTTAGGATCAGGGTTGAGGAATCAATGAGTCAGATTCTTCCTTTTTTGTTCTTCCCTTCGGCCTTTAACTCAATGTAGCCTTTAAATACTTATCACTCATCAACAAGAGCTTATACTCAATGTAGCCTTAAATACTTCTCACTTATCACCAAAAGTCCCTCGAGCCTCGAGCCTTAGGGTTTTCCGGGGGATATAAGTCATCCTGAGCCTTGAAGTGATGTTTAGGGTTTAGGGTTTAGGGTTTAGGGTTTAGGGTTTTTAGGGTGATCTTTCCAAAGTTGGATGCAATGTCGCTCAAATTTATGCGTAGGCTGCACTCTGAAGCGTCAAGATGCCACAAAACCCTCCAGGTTGAAGCAACATACCTAGGGCCACTACTTGGAGGTTCATCTATAGGTACCTTATAAAAGGTTATATATCTTTAGGTACCTTATATAAGGTTATATATCTCTAGGTACCTTATATAAGGTTATATATCTATAGGTACCTTACATAAGGTTCTATATCTACAGGTAACTTACATAAGGTTATAACCAGCAGGTCTAGAAGCTGCTGGTAGCAGCGGCACAAACACATGCACGGACACTGCATCTATCTCACAAGGAACCCCTGCTTTGCCTGTTGCTCCGACGAGCCGTGTCCTTCCACAATGGCTGGAAGAAGAATCCGAGCACGGTGAAGCGCGACACTTTTCCCATCTCCACTCACAGAGAGCCATGGCGACCGGACAAGCCGCAAAAGCTCTTGGAAACTCAAACGGGAGGTCACACCCTCGAGCCCTTAAGCCCTGTGACCCTGAACCCTAAACCCCGCGCACGGCTGGGGTCACGATGTACATAGGCATTAGGGCGTAGTTGTTTCACTAGGGTCTGCCCTAAAACAGCTCCAGCCCCAAGCCGGAAGGCCTAAGACCTAAGCCGTAAGCCCAAAGCTCCAAGCTCTAAGCCCTAAACCCTAAACCCCACCCCCCCCCCCTCTGCCCCAATGAAGCCCATAAGCCCAAAAAGCCGTTCCCTGCTTATTAATTCCTGCGTTCGTTTAGGATTTGGTGTTTAAGCTTTAACCCCGGTCTAGGGAACCTAGTCTAGGGTAGCAGTGCAGGTGATCTTCTCCAAGCTGCACCTGGTGGACCTGGCAGGTAGCGAACGAGTCAAGAAGCCGTGGCCCCAGGGGGAGAATCCCTAAAGCCTGCCACGCCCGAAGCTCGAAAGGGTTCATAGGGTTTGTAGGGTTTAGAGGGTTTTATAGGGTTTAGAGGGTTTTATAGGGTTTATAGGGTTTGTAGGGTTTGTAGGGTTTATAGGGTTTATAGGGTTTATAGGGTTTATAGGGTTTATAGGGTTTATCGGGTTTAGGGTTATTGACCCTACACGCTCATGACACCCTAAACCCTTATAAAGCCCTAGACCCCCTAAACCTCCAAACCCTAGACCCTAGACCCTAAACCCTAAACCCTAAACCCTAAACCCTTTTTGGGGCTCCAGGTCTTTAGCACCTTCAGCTCTAAAGCTTCCTTGGAGTAGCCTCCTAAACCCTAAACCCTAAACCCTAAACCCTAAACCCTAAACCCTAAACCCTAAACCCTAAACCCTAAACCCTAAACCCTAAACCCATTTCCTGGGGATACTGAGTTCTTTCTCAGTCCTCAAGACTGAACAACTCCAAAGCCTCAACCCCCAGCCCCTAAAAATCAGAAAGGCCAAGGGCTTCCTAAAGCCCAGGAGCCGTAAACCCTCAACCTCTAAACCCTACACCCTAAACTCTATACCCTATAACCCTGAACCCTAAACCCTAAACCCTACAACCCTGAACCCTATAACCCTAAACCCTATAACCCTAAACCCGAAACCGCTCTGGCACCCTTTGGAAGGACCGGCTCGGACGGTGTGATGCTGAAGGAGGCCGGGCTGGACCTCCCTTATGATTAGGGTTTAGGGTTTAGGGTTTAGGGTTTAGGGTTTAGGGTTTAGGGTTTAGGGTTTAGGGTTTAGGGTTTAGGGTTTAGGGTTTAGGGTGTGGCTCCTTTACTGCTTCGACTCCCGGGCTCCCTTTTTTTTATAAGGTTTAGGGTTTAGGCTTCAGGGTTTAGGGTTTAGGGTTTAGGGTTCAGCTATAGGGCTTGTAGGTGGTTTAGGGTTTTAGGGTTTAGGGTTCAGTGTTACAGGGTTCAAGGGTTCAGAGTCTCGGGAGGGCTTGATTCCAGTGATCATCTTCTCAACCTTCCACGACCAGGCCACCTTCATCAACAAGTCCCTGACATTCCTGGAGCAGGCTGGGGACGAAAAGGGGTCGGAATAATCACATTGTCTTTGTCATAATTAGTGGGTTAACATCTTACATATTCAATGGTATTTAAACTCAATATGGAATAGAAAAGGTTAGGTTTGTAATACTATCCCGACCATGAACTAGTAACAGCATTCCCTCATGGTCCCTCTAGAATTCGACCCTAAACCCTAAACCCCAGCCCTGATGAAGGATGCGCCCAAAGCCCGTAGATTTCTGGGGCTGGTGCGCTTTCGTAATTTCCATTGTCGGAGGCTTTAGGGTTTAGGGTTTAGGACCCTAAACCCTAAACCCTAAACCTTAGGACCCTAAACCCTGAACCCTGAACCCTAAACCCTTGAGGGTTACAGCCAAGCTAGATCACGGCAGCTGAACCCTGCAGTCTTTCAGTGTGTTCTGAAGTGCTCCTGGATCTTGGTGGTCCCTTCACCTCTTTATCCTTTTAGGGTTTAGGGTTTAGGGTTTAGGGTGTAGGGTTTAGGGTTTAGGGTCTAGGATTGTTCCCCCTTACCCTGGGGCTCCCAGTGTATAAATAATACCTACATTGGGGTCTAAAGTCTGTAATTAGTACCTACTTTGGGTCCCAGTGTATAAATAATACCTACATTGGGGTCTAAAGTCTGTAAGTAGTACCTACTTTGGGCTATGTGGAGCCTTAGGGTTACAAAGTCACCAGCCACAAACAGGGCGGGCCCTGATGAGAAGATGGTTACTGGGCTACCAAGGGATGATCGCCCCAAGCAGCGTCTTTCGGTCTTACCCTTTCTCTGGTAGCATGGCATGGATGGGCCCTGCTTGCGAAACCCGTGCGCGAAGCGCCCCCAAATCCGAAGCCGACCCCTCAACTTTTCCTAAAGGTTTAAGGGTTACGGTTTAGGGTTTAGGGTTTAGGGTTTAGGGTTTAGGGTTTAGGGTTTAGGGTTTAGGGTTTAGGGTTTAGGGTTTAGGGTTTAGGGTTTAGGGTTTAGGGTTTAGGGTTTAGGGTTTGGGTTGTCCCTGATCTTATCCGGTGTGTCTAGCAGAGCTACAGCAGAACCCACAGAGCTGCAGAGGCCCTAAACCCACGGCTCCAAGCCGCCTTTAGCGGACTTTGAGGGTTTGGGGTTTATATAGGGTTAGGGTTTAGGGTTTAGGGTGCCCGAATTCCCTAAGTTGTACGACAAATCGGCGTTTTTGGGGGAGAGAGAGTCGCAAGGTTGTCGTGGCGCTCGGCAACAAGCATCGAGATCACATTCCGCACCTTGGCCTTGCCACTGCGATGTTCTGCTGCGTTTTAAACCTTCAACCGTAAAAAAGACAGTAGCCCTGAACAACCCTCAAGCCCGTAGAGCCCTAAAGCCGAAACCCTAAACCCTAAACCCTGAACCCTGAACGCTAGACCCTAACCCGAACTCCCCCCCCCTCACCCCCCAAACTCTGTAAACCCTCCTCTGCTCCCTTGACGTCGCAGGGCGCGCTCGGGCGTTGACGCGCCTCCTGCCTCTCCATCCCCACTTGGAGGTTCATGGTACTTATGATCCATTTATAGCAGGGTTTTAGGGTATAGGGTCTAGGGTGTAGGGTTATTGTACTTATAACTGTACTTAGAACCATACTAGGGCGAGCTTAGAAGTGGGTTATAAGGACACGTTTCATGGGTGAATAAGTACCAACATTTGGGTTGTCTCTAGGGCGTAGGGTCCCAATTCTGGGTTTAGGATTTAGGGTTGAGGGTTCAGGCTTCAGGCTTCAGGCTTCAGGCTTCAGGCTTCAGGCTTCAGGCTTTAAACCCCAAACCCCGAACCCAAAACCTTTTAAACTTCAACCCCCCCCCCCCCCGTGCCCCCAAACCCTAAACCTCAAACCCCAAAGCTTGTGCCAGAAGCGTTGGGGACCTGCCTAGGTACCGACAGTCGAAGCTGACTCACATGCTTAAGGACCGCTGCTGTACCAGCGCGGGTCAGCTGTCAAGGAGGGTCTACATTGGCTTGTTTTGAAGGGTTCTGCTTGCTCTCTGCAGCTCCTGTTGATCTGCGACCTGTGACCCTCTGTGCCTGCTCTGCAATGGAACTCTTAAGCAATCTTCAGTAAAATTTTCGGTTCCTGGCCAACGAAATTTTACAATTGTCACCCCATTATTATGTTCATCGGACCCCCCAATATTGGGTTTGCTTACACACATCAGCTCGGAAACCTCCCGTAATGGAAAGTAGTCTTGGGCCGGGGCCCTCTGGCCCGCCGAACATTACTATTACCACCCTTTTAAAAATGTAACGTTTACATTAGGGTTTAATTTAGGGTTGAGGGTTCAGCATGTACAGGCTCTCCAGGCCCTAGGCCCTACACAGGCCCTGTAGACCCTGCACTCTGAACCGCCTTCTGAGCTTAAAGTCCTGGTAGCCGCTTACACCCTGTAGGTCCTCATGACAGAGTCTAGTGTAAGCGTGCTACCTATAACCAAAGTCGCCCCTGGCATCATGTCGATGTCAGTCCATGTGCACCTCCTGAGTGGCGCGAGCGTGACTTTGACAACGGAGCCAGCAGAGTCTGTCACCTGGTTGTGCCAAAGAGCCCAGGGCGCTCTACGAGTTGGCAAGGGAAGTCTGCTGACAGCCTCTGGAGATACACTGGTCGAAGGTACAGTCAAGCGCGCGCGTTTACAAGACAATGAGGTGCTGACCCTGCACGTCGGACAGGTTCGACTTACTGTTACAAGGGAAAGGTTCAATACAGCTCTCCGTCGCAGTGCATTTGCTGCACTCCTGGGTGATGGATCTGTGGTGACCTGGGGCTCTGCTGAGTATGGCGGCGACAGCAGTGCCGTGCAAGATCAGCTCAAAAACGTGCAGGAGGTGCAAGCTTCTGATCAGGCATTTGCTGCGATTCGGGCTGATGGATCTGTGGTGACCTGGGGCCTTGCTGACGCTGGCGGCGACAGCAGTGATGTACAAGAGCAGCTCAAGAACGTGCAGCAGGTGCAAGCTTCTCGTGCTGCGTTTGCTGCGATCCGGGCCGATGGATGCGTGGTGACCTGGGGCGATGCTCAATACGGAGGCGACAGCCGTGCCGTAAAGGAGCAGCTGAAGAAAGTGCAGCAGGTGCAATCTTCATGTCGAGGTTTT